CAAACAGCAACTCTTTATTCCCGAACTCTCACAGGCACTCTACATGCATGTTCTGGGAAAAATACACTCCCTCCACCGGGCTCTGCGTACCAATTCTCCCAGAACCCCCCCCCCCCCAGAACTCAACGGGAACTCAAGGAGCAGGCGCCTGAGGCAGCAGGATCCACCCTACACCCAGAGCCACCCTAATCCAGCAGGATCCACCCTAAACCTGGAGCCACCCTAATCCCTGAGCAGGGTCACCTTTCAACCAAAAATGCCATGTGTCATTCCTATTTGGCTATGGCTCTCAGCACTACATCATCCAGGCTTGAGGACCCAAATTTCAAACTGGCACATGTGGATTCAAAGTCTTTGTTATGGTGCCACACTTCTCAGTTCTGGGAAAACTGGTATAAAAGTTACATGAGGAGGATATTTCAGTAGTGTTAAGCTAGATTCATTGCAACAATGTGGCTAATACTAAAACACGTGAAAATGCTCCAGTGTTTGTCAATCTGAGATAAGATTCTGAGCAAGTATTTTTGTAAGCATAAGTGCTAAATTACTGCGATCTTGGAAGAACTGTGTGCATGTACATGTGTCACTTGACCATGTGTTTGTATACTATGAGAAAGGCAAAGAGAGGAGAAAGAGAGGGGAAAGGGGGGGGGGGAAGGAAGAGAAAAAGAGAGATCTTAAGGCTTTTAAAAAATTTCCTTGTGTTCACTTTGGATTATAATAACTTGAATAGGTCACCAAGGTACCACAACATAACTGCTGACTGCTATACCAAGGGGAGATTTATAAAGCTATATATCTCATCTCTGCCTCCTTTCCAATTTACTCAGTGTGGAAAATGCCATTGGCCTTCCAAAACCTTAACTTATGTTTGGACCCCTTCCATCTTAGAGTCTTATTCTAGTGTTGCTGACTATTAAAATGAATATTTCAGTAGGGCTGGAACAGTCTTATTAGTCCAAGCCAAGCTTTATATGACTTGTGCACTTTAAGAGGTTAATCTACCCAGCCAGCTTGCTTTGTTCAGAAGTATTAAATGGAAAGACTGTAACATTCAAAGGAAGGCAAAGTTCACTGGGTAAGCCCTCAATAGTATAATGGAGCATAAAACCTCCAGAAATTTTTACAATAATATTTTATGAAACATATGCGCACACTCATTGGAACAGAATCCACATTAAATGGTTTTGAAGGTCAGCTCAAAGTCACCACATATTCAGTATCTCTGAGAGAAACAACCACTATTTAAAAAGTGCCTGGATCCAGAAGCTTCCATTCCCTACTTTGAAGTTTATTATCTGTCCATCAGTGTGTTATATAAGGAGGGAAAAGTCACCTACTATAACAATAGTACTATTTTCAGCCAAAGTCTAAAGTTCAGTAAAATATTCCAAATTTCCCTATCAACACATACTTGTATTATGAACAAAAGGAATCACAGAGTGTAATTCTAGAAGGAAGTGCTACTTTAAGTGTGGGCAAAAAATATAAAAATTAAAATAGTTATGTTATTCTCTACTTCAAAATCAATTATATAAAGCTTTGATGTTCACTGTTGTAAAGGAATAAAAGACACTTAATTCCAACATTTAAAAGTAAAGTAAACTAAGAATCAGCATGATTAGAGCCAACTATTAGTACTATTCTGATGTTTCTAAAATGGGATTCTAAGGGCAACTATGGTTCTCTTAAGGGGAAGGAAGTAAAGGTCCACTTTACAAGACAAAGGTCAGATTTCTGCAGGCAAATGAGACTTCTATAAGTTGACTGTTCCTGAATTGTCACTGGGGGTGGAGGGACTAAAAGGTCAAGAGAGGTTCCAAATTGTGCTCACAGCTTAAGGGACACCCCTGGGGCCACCTTAATCAATTTAAGGTCATTAGGAATTTTCTTTCTCTGGTTCCAGTTTTCCTCTCTTAAATCTTATTAATATGCATAGGTAAATCAGTACTGATATTGATTTAAAAGAAATTAAATGTGTTTAGTATTATATGCTGATCAAAAGATAGAATACACCCAACAACCTCTTTTAAGTCTAAGACTGAATTCAGTGAAATCCAAGTAGAAAACAGAAGTGGTAATCTAGTTCCAACAGCAAAGAATGATTATATAATAACTGTTCTGGTATTTTGCTATGTGATCTATGACACTCCTATGGAGTTGATTTATTTATTTTTTATTTTTTGTTGTACTGGTGATGAAACCCAGGGCCTCACACATACTAGGCAAGTGTTCTATCACTGAACTACATCTTCAGCCCCATAGATTCAATGTAATATAAGACAGCATCTCACAAATGTTATTACCTTCAACAGTTTCCCCAATTACCACCTGCCTCATTATGGTAAAATTTAATAGTTTACCTTTTAATAATGACTTATGAATCACTGAAATACTACAAATGATTTAGTAAAAGTACTGTTTGACAATATTCCAATGCTCTTCTATTGAGCACAAATACATATCTAAATTTTCTCACAACAGAATTGGCAATAACCCAAATGTATTAAATTTCTAAGACTTGGAAGAGTTCTGCCTATTTGTAATTAATGAAGGATATCTCTAAGTATTTTAGATAGATAGCGTGTAGAAAACATCTGTATTTAATTATTTCATACTTTTCTTAAACAATACAATGGGAATTGAATTAGGAATATTTTGAAACCCCTATAGAGATATTAAAGTATTAACGGCTGTTCAAGAACTTTATTGCTACAATGCTTGAAAATGTTTAGTTTTACAGATCAACAGCCTGACACTTCATAAATATCAGATTTTCAATATAAAAGGAAGAAACTTGAAATACCGGACAAATACAGAAAATATATTACTCGAAAGAGCCAAGGATTTTCACTATTACTATATATCAAATAAACAGGCACAGAAAAGGTCTTGCACATTTGCGAAGATTTCAATAAGAGTGTGTAACATATATCCTGATCAGAATTTCTCTTGAATTTTGCTGTGAACTGAGAATTTCAATGTGAATAAATTAACAGCTTGCTATTCATTCTTCGGAGAAGAAAAACTATAACCTGTTCTCATGGAAACAGAGACAAAGTATGTGTTTTTAGTACTTATCCCTAAGTTTTGAAAAAGATCAGATTTTCTTTCTGGATGCTTACTGGTCCCAAATGCCACTTCTTTTCAAAGACAGTGTCAGCTCTGCAGTCAGTTTTCAATCTCCCAGTGGTAAGAATATATTCAAAGGCTGTGTGCTCAGCAGGACAGAAGTCTTTCTCTGTGAATGTAACTGTATCACTCATCAGTAACCTGCCATAAGGGGACTCAGTATTTTCTTTCCTTTTAGTGATTCTTTGGGCTCTTGCATGCCAGTGACTCCCTGAGACCTGGGGCAATATTCACAAAATCTTTGCCCCTAGCTCTTCCACAAGATACTGGTGCAACTAAATGTAAAGGTTGTAGATCAAAGTCCCCACATTCTAAGTCACATGTCCTTTAGGAATCAATTTTCATAAACTATATTCCATGTTTTTGAAATACATAGAGGCTACTCTTTACTTTTTTCCTTTTATCCCAGAGAAGTTTATTTATGAGAAAGGCAATATGATTTGTTGATAATAGTGAGAAATACTGATACAATATGTAAAACACAGTCATTCATGAGTCTGTGCAGGCTTCCATAGAAGTATTTTACTACACCTCTCAACTCAGAAACACTAAATCCTTTAGGCTACAAAAATAAAAAGGCACAGATTGCTTTGTGACATATATGACATGTAAACATTCTTTCCCAGTATCTGGAACAATATGAGCTACATTGTGGGTAATACATTTTTATTCATGATTGATTTTATTTTTTAGATCTTCATTATGCTATAGGTAAATTATATGACAGAAAATAGCTTCAATATATGTTTTTACAATCCACATCCTCTTTAATTACTCAAAACTTCTTGGAGAATGAATATAAATATTTGAAATCATTATTACTCTATAGATTTTATATACAGAAATCTATACTTTTTAAAGTAGTCCTGAATAAAATACAACAGACTAAACTATTCTTTATGAAAACTTTTCAGATAAATTATGGATATAAATTTTTTTTTAAATGACAACTGCCCTATCTAAAAACTGTATTTGGCAAACATCATAAGATTTAGAACAGAATGTATACAAATGCTACTTTTCTGTATATCTAAATAACGTTTAAATATACTTTTTATAGTGTATATCTAAATAATGTTTAAATATACTTTTTATAGTGATAAGAGCACATAACACATTAAGTATACACATCTCAGAAAGCTCAGAAAGGAGAAGAAGATGGGAAAACAAACATAGCCCTTAGAGATACTTAGAATTTTACTAAATTCTAAATACAAGCTTTATTATGCCAGTTCCCCTAAATAAATTTTAATATAACTATATGAGATAATTAGGTCCAAATTCTTGTTCTCAGTTCTTCAATCTGTGAGACATTAGGCAAGTCACTTACTCAGGAAGGTATCCTTGGCCTTACCTGTTTTCACCACATAAGCAGTTAAAGTTAAAAAAATACTTTTTCAGGCAAAATAAAATTTTATACCCATTTTTGTAGAAAATCATTGAGGCTCAGGAGAAAAATAGTGGAGGCAATTAAAGGGCTTCACTAATGGAAAATAGTTAAATTTTCTGAGGGATCAAATTTCTATTTTCTATTACTCTATTCTTCATTGTGAATACAAAAATATTTGGCTAACAATCAAATATGATTGTCTTTTAAATTTAAAAAAAGTTGTTGTGATTATATAGTGAATCAAGTGATGGATAAATAGGTAGGGAAGTATGTGTCTGTGTGTGTGATTCTGTGTGTGGGACTGTTTGTGTTTGCATGTGCACCCAACCATGTTGGGATGTTTGTGTGTGCTGGGTGCAGGGGAAGGGAGATATTTAATACCTATAGTTCAAACTCTTTGATTTTCCTCTATAAGCGACCAAATAAAACAATCGGTAAGTTATGGAAGAGCAAGTGGGTTTGTGTTAAGCCAACTTACCAGTTTTTCGAAGGGGAAAATCGTCCTTGGTATCTTGTGCTCCTGGTAATGTGTATTTGTAGGATGGAGATGTTCCACTTAGGGGCGGAGAGCTTTGATCCAATGATGTGTGGTGGGCAGCCCTGCAAAAGAAGGTTCACCATTGACACTGGAGTTTTTACTGCAGGTTGGTCAGCAATAATCAGTTGCACATGCTGTACACGCGCCTCAGCTGTGTTTATGTTCCTTTTTCCTAGTGTATACAAACCACAGCTTCATGTAACCACGTTCACTATAGAATTATGTTATGGAGTAACCCAGGATGCCTAAGAATGCCCACTGTGTGTTTGGTCATACAGTCACATAGAAAAGTTCACCTCACTAAAAAGGAGAATTTACCAAATGCCAGAGGTTTTGATAATTTGAGATTACTGTGCATGTTTTCTTAAGTGCTTTACTAGTGGGAAAAAACAATCATTGTCTGGATCCCTTTTTACTAATCAATGTAGAACAATCAAGGTATAAACATATACAAGGAGTTCTTTAAAAATAGCTAGATAGCACATTCAAGTACTTGAAGATGACTTCTTTAGTGACAAGACAATACACTGCCAAAAGTCCCAGGTCTCTTGAGTTCTAGAACAGTTCCAGAGGTGTGGCATGGAGACCACATTCTTCCTAAATATGAAACTAAATTTTAAAAATATTTTTCTTTCCTGGGTGAGTACACTGAAAAATATGCAATTGTGCTACTGGAGAGTGCTTCATAGGACTGAAACAAACCACCTCGCCACTATTTACCTTTATAATTGTTATATACTATGAAAACAATGAACAGGGCATAGCACCATTATCACAATGGTTGTTCTATCAGTACTATTTATTTGAATATTCTTAAGAATTGGTTGTTTTAAGGATATTTCATCTACCTATAACTGGAAAAAATGGTATTAAATTCATATTTACAGATTAATGATTTATGGTTATCTGGAGGTGGACCTTACAGAAGTTCAATTAAATAAGACAGAATTGCTAAATAACATGTGAGAGCCACATTTAATATATTCAAGAGAACAGCCAAAGAATTTGCAGTTGAGAATTATTTTCATGAGATTGTTTCTAAGTAAAAAATAGCATTATCTTTTCTTAAAACAGGCTTTAATTTTAAGGGACATATGAATTAGTTATAAATTATGAATGCAATTTTGGCTAACAATTGTATTTCTTTTAAAATGCTTTGGGATGTTGATTAAACATCTGAAAACTTCAGTAGTCAGTTTCTCAAGTTAACTGACATTCATGTGATTATAAAAACCATTAAAATGTGTAAAACATTCTGGAATCTGCCTGTTACTTTTTATTCAGGATGCACAAAAGGGTAGATACCTATAAAATAGACTTATAATTATAATAATTGTATAAAAACATATCCTGGGATGCTTGCAATTTCCATATAATAGAGTAATTGAGTATTTACTTCCTATCCTTGATGATGTGAGCAATTAAAAAATATGTTCATTTAAAATCCTATGGTCATTCAGTAAACACATTTATGAGAGAAATGAAACCATTGTCTATTAATCTATTAATCTAAATGCGATTTGCCTTTCAATCTTTGCTCTGATTACCACATCCTTCATATTTTATAGAAAAAGAATTATATATTTCATAATATCTCTTTACTGGACTTGGGAAAATACAATTCCATAAAAACTCAAATACCACAGGGCACCATGTTGTCCGTGTATGTGTCAGAAGCCATACACTGGAAAGAAATGAGGTGTAGTGGGCAGGGGTAAACTACTCACTCACTGAAGACTTAAGATTTATTTATTTAACTACCTCCCTTCTCTTCCTTTCCTTTTCCTTCTTTCCCTTCCTTCCTTATTATTTTTTTTTTATTGAGTCAAAAATCATCTGGACTTCTAAATATAGCCATCACTTCCATTTCATATCAAGCTAAGCAAAATAAAATAAAATCACAATCTGCCAAATCTTTAGACATGTAGATATCAGATGTACCATTTGAGAACAGAAAGATTAAAAATACAAATTTATGTCTAGGTCCCACTGCATTTGTCAGTTATTTGTTCAACAAAGAAAAAAATATATTTCTTTGTCCTCAAGATGACAAACGCTAATATTTGTTAAGCACTGCTCTCGGTTATGAGTCACTTTATCACCTTATTTCATAGGACCTTCCCAGCAACCCTAGAAGGCAGGTACTATTATTATCCTCTTTTTATGGAGAAGGAAACTGATCCTTAGAGAATTCAAGGAACTTGCCCAGAGCCACACAGCTGAGAAATGGCAGGCCCAGGATTTGCGCCCTGCTCAGCTAAATACAGAACCTGTGCTCTTTACCCCTGAGAATGAAAATAGCCAAACACTGAACATACGTGTACCAGAGCTTGGGATGGCGGCTCACGGAATGATTTTTTCCATTAGTTGGAGTGTCTTTCGTTGCTGATTTACTCAACAGGAATTCTTGAAGCTTCTGCTTTACTTCTGTACTTGCCACTGCCCCTGAAAAACACACACACACACACACACACACACACACACACACGAGAGAGAGAGAGAGAGAGAGAGAGAGAGAGAGAGAGAGAGAGAGAGAGAAACAGATGTTGATTGTGAATCTTGTCCTCTCATGCATCTAGAATATTTAACAATGATTAAGAAGTAACATCACTGGTCATAGAATATAAAGTTTTCCTATTAAAATAAGAAACCAGAATCTAAAGAGGCTTTAGAAAATGGCACGGCGATACTTTGCAACTTATTAAACTGCCAATTTCCAGAAGACCTTCAATGAGTTCTTTAATTGCTTTTGCAGAAAGGGGATTCCTGGAATTAATATTAATGTCTTTTTAAGTTTAAAAAACACTGCTGAGGAACAAAACACTGTGTTTTAAAAATCAAGATTCTTGGGGGACCATATCAGATCCCTTAAATACATTAAAATGATCTTTTCTGGGTTTATAGTTTGAAAAACTTAACATTTTTAAAAACCCCTTTGAGCATTAAACAAATAAATATTGCTGACAATTCAGTTCAAGTCATCAAATTTAAACCTCGCTACGACCTGAGTTTGAACTGACCTAATATGGGGAATTATTTGGATTTGTCTCCCTCTTGTGGACGGAACGTTTTCAAGTGTGCTGTCTTAAATCTTTCCAAAGTCTGAGTATTCAGAAATTAAATGGAGGCTAGATGTGGCTTATGGAACAATGCTTAATTACTTGGCCAGGAGGAAAGAAATAATGAGGCTATGTGGAAGCAACTTTGTTATTAAACAGAATGGCTTATACAAGACTGCTTTAGTATGACATTATGTTTAAGATCCCAAAGAACAAAAATGTCATCTTTCCACTGCTACGTTTACTTCTATGATATCCTGCAGACTGAATAGAGAGCTGATATATGAATGTCACAGCCTTACACTTGAGTCTATAACTTATTATCTTAATTAAACACCGGCAGTTTTGATAAGTTTAATTCCACTGTTTATCAGGCTTCTTTACAAATGATGATGAGTTCAAGGTGAGGGAAGAGAGTCCGTCTTTTACCCTGGTGCCTCTTACTTTCTCGTCCTCTATCTTTGCCTCTGAGAGGAGGAAGCTGCTGTTCTCTGCGATGCCTCTCTACTTCCTGTTCTTGCCTCTGCTGCTCCAGTTTCTGCTCCTTTTCTAGGAGTTCTTGTTGCTGTTTTATGGCTAGAAGTTCCTGTTGCAACTTGCGAGAAGAGAAAGACATGAGAGTGTGCAATTTCTTTAAGCTTTGTAGTCAACGTTGACTGGTCAAAAGTGAAATGCTATGAGCTTTTGGAACTTGTTTGTCATTAGTTCATAGTTTTACCCACTATTTTTGAAAAGCATCAAAATCTGAAGGCAAGCAACTAAATGTCAAGATGGTCTTATTATCACTGACAGATACGGTTTTTAGCTAACTCCATTCCCTGTAATCAAAGATAATTACCAAATCATATATTTTAGTTTATGTTGATTAAATCTTTAGTTCTCTGACAAACTCCCTGTACATATGAAATATACAAACAGGCAAATGCAGGGACTGCCCAGAAGTCTATTTCACAAAGTCTCTCACATTATAAATAAATAACCTAAATCTTCAGTTCTTAACCTAAGAAATGATGTGAAAATTATCAAGGTGAATAAAATGGTGAGATATGAGTCAATTGGGGGAAATATACCTGAAATAGAATGAAGGCTGAAAATGTCAAAACCTTACAGAAAATGTTCTCAATAGACTAAGGCAATCTGGGTGTCCATAATAGGTTCATCTTTCAAAACAGCAGAAGTCTCTAGACTTTCATATAGCACATAAAAACGTTTAGATGAGAGACACTGGTTAAGATGAAATCACTTCCATGAAACTATAGTCTAATGCACTATTGTTTGGCTTTCTGAGTTCCATGAATTCACTTCTAAATAACGAATAACATGAATATGAAATATTCCTAATAGTTATCTCAAGATGTTAGCTTCCTTTCAGGCTGAGAAATTTGTATCTATGAAGAATAGTAAATGTTCCCACTGAGGAATTACTGGACTCTCTGAATTCTACTTAGCCTCCAACATTACTAGTATGAGACCTGACAAGTTACTAAACTACTCAGAGCCTCAGTTCCTCATAAGTGAGATAGAGAACAGTCTTCCTCATATTTCATATTCATAATGCATACAAATTTAGTTTTTTGGTTTGAACCATACTAGTTTTCATTATTACTATTTGTAACTTTTGACACTAATGAAAGTATATTTTTATATTAGATTAGCACCTAAACCTCTGAATTTTATACTGAAAAGTTATAGAACAAAAACAAAAAACCTCTATGAAATGGCATCAGGGTCTGTCAGGAATAACAGGAAAGCAAGTATGCAGGTCAACCATGATAGCCTTGTCACTAGCAAAGGACAAGGTTAGAAGCAGTTCTGGTTACTCTTCATATTAAAATGTTTCATTGTGGCTTAAAAAAAAATTCACTCTGATTACACTGTTTCGATGTTACTTCTACATAGATATTAGGATTGGTCACATTGATTCAGTGCTTCATCCAAAGCCCCAGTGCATCTAAACTTCAATCTCTCTTAGGAGTCTAGGAAAGCACACAGTCTCATTACCATAGCTACTATTCACTACAAAGACTGCAGGAAGAAGGTTTAAAAAATAGAAAGAAATAAAGACTTCACCCATCTATTTCCAGATGTTCTGACCCCTGAGCAAGGCAGGGTGATTTAGGAGCTGTGGGGGTAGACAAGGTAAGACTATAGTTCTTGGAACAACTACTTTCTGGCTATGTAGCTTTGGAAAATTACATGATTTATCTCTACCTCAGTTTACTAGGTGGAAAAATGGGATAAGAGAAACCAAACTCAACAGATGTTGATTATTAAAGAAGCAAGAGAGTTAAAAAGGTGCATATTTAAAGCTCATGGACTGTACCTTCCTCGTGCAAGTAAAATCTTAATGAGAATTAAAAATATTAACTTTTAGCCTTATCCATAAAAAGAAACAAAATGAAATAAGTTAAAAAGTAAATAACTTCCTAATCTTAAAAGGAAATTTTAAATATGTCTTTAGCTTCTGAGAAAAATAATGCATTAATTTGGAAATCACTTTAAAAGCTAAATTTTCCTTTTAGCTTTCTCATAATCCTTACTCTCTTAAGAGCTCTTTTCCAACATTTTCCAGATGTCAATAAACCTATACTGTATCATTTTGTTTATGCCACAGAATCAATTATCTACTTTCTACTATTAGTTTTTGAGTAAAGTTAAATAATAAGCTATTTTCCAAAAATTATACTAATCTTCTGACTACAAAAGGCACCAAATAAAAATGAAAAGTAGAAACTTAAAGACAAGCAACTAATATGCTAATGACTTATTGGCATTACCCTGTATTCAGGGAAACATGACTCATAGAGAAGTAAAATGAACTACACAGTTCCTTCACCAACTAGGTGGAGAGTACAAATCTTCCTCATGCATCACTTCCAACCAAACATATCTGGGAGGACTAAGGACAGAGATCAAGGTGTCAATGTTCCCATTATTATTTCAAAATCAAATCAAAACAATACTTTTGCATTCACTCAAAAATAAGTTCATAAACTGAATAAAGTTTACTCATATTTTAAAATACAGCCCTGAGCTACAGATTCCATAAGGGACCCAAAAGTAAATTCTTACTCTTACTTTTAAGATATCTTCTATATCAATAATATGAAAGAGTTCTTTTGGTAATGTTCATTAGAAAAGGAAAAGTTATATTTTGTATCAGATATTTGAGTCTTTCTTAAAATGAAGATAGATAATATAGACCTCCAGGCTAAGGAAATATCTTAAGGAAACGTATGGAAGGAGATAGTATTCGATCTTCCCAGCCACTGGAATATTAACATGGTAAAATTATACTATATTTGCAAAGATTAGTTACCTATACCAACCTCACATTAGTGGTTGTACCTGATATGCAAGCAAAAGATTAAGTTCCTAGAATACAGACTGACAAAATATAACAGAGTTCATTATATTAATAAATTAACATATGTTGAAGTCATCTTTGAAGGACTTAGATATAAAAATAAAATTTTATCATAAATATATGCTATTTTATATTATTGTCATAATAAGTTCAAATCAAATATTTACTTCATCAAATTTAAAGATCCTTGCTTTTAAAAGTCTTTGTCAAATTGTTGAAAAATATGAATAAAGTATTTCTATCTGAAGATACAAAAAAATGAATACATGGTTGCATCTATAATAATCTGATAATAGACCATTGTGAAAATAATTCTGGGATAGGATATGGATATATTTCTTTCGGGATAATCTAAACAACCCAAATCATAAAATGTCAACTCTCCTCAAAATTCAATAAGTTTTTATCTACAGTCCTATATAAACATTAAAATATTTTCATCAGTTTGTCCATATAAAACACCCTTGAGGGGCTTGGGTATAATGGCATGGTGGCAGAGAGATTGCCTAGCATGTCATATGCAAAGCTCTCATTTCAAGCCCCAGTACTGAAAAAAAAGTTCTCTCGGTTCATATAAAGTGACTAATTTATCCTTTCTGGTAAACTGTTTATGCAGATTCTATATAAATATAAAATGGGTCTTTCCAGGTTCATGGTTCTTGATGGTAAGAAGATGGGGCAAATGAACATATTGGAGAGAATCTAAATGAGAGGGGGAAGCTGGGAAGTTACTATTCCTTAGGAGTGATTCTGTTAAGCCTAAGGATAAGAGTGGTAGAGATTTCTCTATTAAGCAAAGCAGGTTTTTAGCAGGTTCTTACCCAAGGTTTTTACTAATACAACACAAATTACCTTCAAGCCATATATCCACGTCTTAATCACAGTGAAACTTCCCCCTCTGTTCTCCCATGGGTACTTCTCATGCCCATGTATGTCATGGTGCAGATGCCCCAACTAAGATCAGAGACAAAAGAAACATTTGCTACCTTGATGTGTTCCTGAAGCTGAGCCTGGTGTTGCCGGGTCAAGTTCTCATGTTGTTTCTGAAACTCTGCTATCAGGAGTTGCTTCTGGATTTGTTGCTGCTGCTGGATAAGAAGTAACTCCTGCTGCAGTTGCTTTTCACGGACAACAGGGTCCACCACAGGCATCATCATCCTGAGGTCTGTCCTTAAGTCTAAAGGCGAAATGGGCTCCAGACCCACTGGAACCTCTGACTTCACATCCACTAGAGAACGAGGAAAAAAAAAAAGGAAGGGGGGGGGAATTAATACAATAATTTGGAAACAAGCAAAAAATAAGATACTATACTATATCCCGTATAACAAGTCGTAGGTCAATGATTCTAGTCATTTCTTTATAATCACAATAGAAAGGCTTTTGTATGTCAGTTTTGATAAATGGAACATGTGCTAACTTTCATTCAGTATTTTGTACTCTGCCCTGAATCTTCTGCTCTTCTCTTGTTGTTCAACAAGATGAGTTCACTGGTATCAAAGTCATTCATAAAATTTCTCAACTAGACCACTTAAAAATATTAAGTCAACTTGGGACCAAGAAATAAGACAACATTAAGAGAAAGATGTCATATATCAAGAAAGAAAATCTGCAACAACTCAATTTGTGCATTTATGAACTTTTCTAAAATTAGAGTCAGAAAGACATTTGACCATAAAAAAGTAAAACTTGTAATATATTTACAGGGATATTGGGCCTAGCAAAAAAAGAATACAGATCTATAAGACAAATGTGGGAAATGTCAATTAACCATAAAAATGATGCAAATGGGTGGCCAAAGCCAAACACCAAAGTAGTCAAGTTTCTAAGTGCCACTCTTTAAGCAGTAATCATCTGTATCTCCATAACCTAATTTCTGAAATAAACAAAGCAGAAGTTAAGGAAACTGAAAGTTATAATTAATTAAACCACCAAAGGAAGTAAGATCTGCTGATCTAAGGATAACTATAAAATATAATATTTAAATTGATGAAAATCAAATGAGATAATGCATGTAAAGTGCTCAGTACAACTTCTAATAGATAAGAATGTTGCTTCCTAACAGTAAAGCAAGAACGCTCACTCACTGGGTCATGTCCAGATGCACTGGCTCTTTATGCCTAGTGTCCATTCTGATTGGTCCGTGTCCATGCCAAACTGGTCATGAAATATTTTGAGTATGACTCTATCCCACAGGAATCAGGAGAGATTTATAATTAAATGAGACAAATTAAAGACAGTAGGGATTTTGGAATGGAAACTGGATGTTATGTCTCTTTTGAAAGAAGTGAACTACTATTCAGATCCAACCAATTATTCACAGGGAAAATACTCAAACCCAATATACACATTAAGATAACCAAATTTTTAATTGAAAATTTTTTCAAAAAAGTAAGCATTCTGGGAGCTTAACAAAATGCTTCTATAATCCAACTCTAATATGAAGGCTGCTAGTTTTCAACTTCTGCTCTAAACTCTGAATATCTATTCCCATTTTTCCAGCTGTGCAACCCTGAGGATGTTATTGACTTCTCTAGGTATCAGTACCTTAAAATGAGATATCTACAATAATAGTAACAATCAGGTTGTTAAAAGGCTCAAGTTAGATCATTCATAAAACTTATAGCTTATAGGACATTTCTCAACAAAATTTTTGGTTTTGCTTTTTTAAATTATATTAAAATGGCAATATCTTACATATTATAATAAATCAATATAAGAAAAAATAGGAAAATAAAATGGTATTATTTCTATTAAATATTAGATAATAAATACACTAACACTTCTAGAAAAAGAAAACCACACAGTGTAGCAAGTGAAAAATTACCTTCACTAGTAAAGAAATTAGAATTATAAATAAAAATATAGCATAAATATTCAATTATCATATGATTCATGTATATGTATACATCTGTGTGCATATAACACACCATTGTACAGTGCAAGCCTGTGACCAAATCATTTATTGAAAATGGTGCTGCCAATTGATATAAAAGTTCTGCAAAATCAATTTGATGATATGTGTCAAGAGTTATCAAATATTTCTGCCATTTGATTCAGGTTTCCCACCTCTTGAAATATATCTTACAGAAATAATACTAATGGAGAAAAAAAGACAAGTTCAATGACCTATTGTTTACTGCAGTATTATTTTTACCAAAAATTGAAATCCCCAACTACAAGAAAATGCCAAAGTAAAATATGTTACATCCATTTGGTTAAAAAAAAAAAAATATATATATATATATACACACACACACACACACACAATCACTAAAAATATAATGTTTATGAGAACATTAAAAATGCTGTTATATCATGAAGTGAACAAACAATAATAAAGATACATTTATACTACAAGTAAATAAAATTAATTTAGCCAATATACTAAATATGTATTACTTATCCCCTTAAAGTCCCTGTTTTTTTTTTTTTTTTCTATATGATGGGTTCAGTAGTTTTTAAAAGACAGAAATTCCAGCCCTCGCTAATTATATATTTTATTTAGATTCTTAATCATATAGGTCTGTGAATTCTAATAGCAAAGACTGGTGATACAGGGAATAGGGCATGGTTGTAATTTGAATGGAAATATGAGTGATTCTTCTCCTTTTTCTTCTTTTCTCTATTTTTCAAAATTGCAACTAATATTCTGACTATTCTTATAAGTATCTAACTTTGATTTTCAGATTCCGTACTGGGAACTGCAAAGTTAATATTCCATATGGATTTAAGAGCTATTTTCAATGAGTTAAGAAAGCCTAACAGAAATCCTGTCTGTAGATGTTACGGTTTCAAATACTAAAGCTGTAAATGTCCTTGCGTGTCGTTTGAATTGTATGTGCATGTGCATGTAGATGAGTACCAATCTTGGGTGTTAATATTGGCTATTTTTCAGAATTGCATGTACTGATCAGAGGTTTTCACTGATGGCACTTTTTGTGACACTCTAATAAAAATGAGAAAATGATTCATTAATAAACTCTAGTTTAATAGACAATGTCTTCTAAAACATGATATTTATGAAAGGAAAGAAATTAATTGTGACAAGTCTGAAAGCAAATGAGGATGATGGCCTATGAGATCTCTTAGTTGTAATGCCCAGTGTAGAACTTTCAGTCAGTTCTAAGGTAACATGAGATTTTGAGCATTAACTTAAAAAGCTGGCATAATTTCAACCCAAAGCAATGACTGTTAATTATATATTTCATTTTACATTAAAAAAGCCAAACTATGGCCTTCAGTTTTTACATGAAAATCCCAGTAAACAAAGGTCAGATTTTAACTCAATAAAGACAAAATGTAAAAATCCAAAAGACCCTGCAGTCTCTCCTTACTGGCATTCCTATTATCCATAAAGTATAAAGATCAAACCCTTAAATTTATTTTTCGGCAAAAAAAAAAAAAAGATAAGAAAAAAAATCCCACAACTCTCTGAAACAGTTATTGTAAACCTCAAAGGGTAATTTGACTTCTTAACCTGCTATCCCAACACAAATGATTGTGTGTAACTGCTTGCCTTTGTTCAGAGACTAATCACTAAATTGTGAAAAATCACCCTCAACTTACAAAAACTGCTCTTGATTATAAATAATTGCCCAAGACTGAGAGAAAGCGGCAGGCAAGATCCCAGTCTTTCATCCAATTTATTCAGCAGCAATCCACATTCCATTTGTCTAGACTAAATATAGCAACGTTTATACAAGAAATCAATAGTGCCTGCAGAGAGGAGAGCAAAGGCATGAATATTTCATCAAACCCAGAGAGAAATGGCAATCAGCAAACTGATGGTTCTGGGTAGGTCATCTTTGGCCTGCTGGATTAGTTCCTGTTACTTGGACAATAGCTCATCTCTGCCTAATCATAATCATATCATAGTCATTCTTTCTATTTTTAGCATTAATTGCATTGTGGGTGACAAAGGCTCATCAGATTCCAAAAGGAATGTTATATTTTTCTTACATCTTTTGTGACAGGCTAGTGAGCCTCCCCAGGAGCAATAATAGTAACAATGCTAAAGCTGAATTTCAACAAGTTGTAGTCCATTTCTTATCAGAGAATGTGAAAGAGTGGGCATTATCTAGAACTGCTCTGTTATCATAAATAGGAATAATCAATTACAAGGAAAAATTAACCACCAGTTTTAACAGTGAGTAAATGGAATTCTCTCTGTTCACAATGTACCTTGTTTGGAAATATTAACATTCCTCGGAAATTACTCAGAACAGGTGGTCAAGGATACATACTTTAGAAGGAAGGTGATAGGGAAAAAATAGTAATACTAATATTAGCTATAAATGACTCAGATTCTTTTAAACAGATCTCAGTACCTCATGGACACATTTGAGCAAGAACCATGACGGAGCTTTACATGGACTCCCCCTGTTTGAGATTACAAATATATGCAAATATATGTGATTTTATATTATTCTACTTCTTATATACCAAATGCCCAGTCAGAACATTTCTACATGTATATTCTCTAGTCTGAATTACCATTTTATAAAATCCTGTTCATTCTTTCTTCACAGCTTACTTCTTTGACTATGACTCCTTTATCTGTGGAATATTTACCTACTGATGTAATTATCTAGAAACAGTTTTTCATGAATCTATAAATGAAAAAGTTCCCACTTGAAAAACAAAAGAAAATCCGAGATCATACAGATGTTTAGAATAATTATGTTTATTTAAGCAATATACATATATATTGTTTAAATTACTGTGAGAAATATGAGTTATTTTTTCAATTCCAGAGCTGTTATAAAGTTAATTCGGAGTGCTAAGAATAATACAGTAGGCTTCACTTTAGATGCCCTTATTCTTAGCAAAGGTAAGCAGGGAGAATTTTCACATGTTCAAAAACAAGACTTGGGTTGCTACTTCATCAGCTGGTTTGCAAACAAGGAGCCCCCATTTTGAGAATGTTTTAGGGAACACTAGGTAAGCCCCAGGGATGGGACCATTTTAAGAATACACTCTTTTGTCCATGTACAACCACATTAAGGCTGAAGACAGATTGTGGTGCTCTCAAAGCAACGGTGTTCAAAATACAGGTTTTCACACAAAAAAATTGGCTCAGTCATACCACCAATTTGTGCATCAATTAGTTAATTTTTCCACTCAGAACTGCCACAAAAATTGGAACCATGTTTAACAATCTCATGGCTACTTGATTACCCTTAGAACTCTGAATTAACTTTTTAACAGCCCTGGAATTGAGAAACCATC